GGGATGCGGAGGCAACAGAAGCTATTGAATTGAGCTAGCCGAAGGAGCACGTGGCTGACAGAGCGCAACGACGGCGACATGGCCAGCAGCACTATACCACCCGCACCATTCGATCCAGCTAGCGAAGATTGGGACTCATACATGGACAGATTTCAAATGTTCCTGGAGTCCAACAACCTCAAAGATGCCACGCCCAGCAAGAAACGAGCCGTTTTTCTAACCGATTGTGGACCAGCCATTTTTAAGATGGCTAAAGCCTTAGCCAAGCCAGCTGAAGTTAAAACCATGGATTGGGACACCCTTGCTCCCATCCTGCGCAACCATTACGCCCCAGCCGTGCCAACTCTCATTCACAGGCATGAGTTCTACCAGAGGGACCAACGTGAAGGTGAGAGCGTTGGGGATTTTGTGGCAGACCTGAGGAACCTGGGCAGTTTGTGTGGCTTCACCAACCTCAAAGAAGCCATGAGAGATCGCATCGTCCTTGGCCTCAGAGACCCAACCGTCCAGAGCAAGATTATGGCCAAGGGAGACATCTCGCTTGCAGATGCCATAGCAGATGCCACAGCAGCTGAAGCCACTTGTAAATCGGCAGCATGAATGCGTCGAACCAGCGGGACCAACCGCCAACCCACCAACAATGCTGGGAAACCTTCAGACAAGTACACATCAACCATCCATCACGAAGACGTCAAGTCATCCTCAGACAGTGAGGAAGAAGAAGTCCACAGGCTCCGGTCAGAACGTGAGCAACGGGACCAGCGGGGTCGCAAAGCCAACTACCAATGCGCCGGATGCGGGGGAAACCATCCCCGATCCGAATGCAGATTCTTAGATGCCATATGCCGTTTTTGCGAGAAACGGGGACACATCACGAAGGTATGCAGAAACAAGAAAAATTCCAGCCCCAGACGGAGAGGGAGCAGCCCAAAGAGAAATGATGGCAACGCCACCACGCAGAAGGACTGCCCTAGCAACCAGTGGAACCGGTACAGCAGACCCCGAAGGTTTAACGACGCCCCCAGACGAGAGGAGTCTCATCAAACCATCACCATCGGCCACGCTTCATCACTTGATGCTAAAAAGATCCGAGTAGAGGTCACGATTGAAAACAAACCGTGCAACATGGAAGTCGACTCTGGGTCATCACTATCCATGGTATCCTGGAGAACACTCAAGCAGCTAGTCCCCAACATCCGACGCCAAGACCTCAGCAGTCAGAGACTCATACTGAAAGACTATCAAGGCAACCGGATTCCAGTCGCAGGTACCCGCCATGTGCAGGTCTCGTTCAAGGGACATAAGGCAATTCTACCACTCACCGTCGTAGACCGAGACCGGCCAAGTCTATTGGGTCTTCAGTGGTTCGCGCCATTAGGAATCAGAGTGGCTGGCATCCATCATACTGAAGACAATGACTGGGAGGCGGCTCTCGTCCACGACTTCCGAGAAGTGTTCAACGAAAGCCTAGGCAAGTACAAAGGGTCCCCTATTTCATTTAATCTTCGCCCCGACATAGCACCCATTCGTCTAAAGCCACACCGAGTTCCCTTTGCTCTTAAATCCAAAATTGACGAGCAACTGGACAAATTAATTGTGCAAGGCGTGTTAGAACCTATTGACCACGCCCGATGGGAGACACCAATCGTCACCCCCATAAAACCTGATGGGTCCATAAGAATCTGCGGTGACTACAAGGCCACCCTCAATCACGCGCTACAGCAGAGCGCCTAACCAGTGCCAGTTGTTCAACATCTCCTGCATTCACTTGGGGGTGGCAAAATATTCGCAAAATTAGATCTGGCCCAAGCGTATCAACAGCTACCAGTTGATCCCGAGACTGCAGAAGCCCAAACTATAGTCACACATCGTGGTGCATTCAAATGCAACAGGCTCCAGTTTGGTGTAAGCGTAGCCCCAGGCATCTTTCAAAGCCTGATGGAGAGACTATTACAAGGGTTAAAAGGGGTCGTGCCCTATTTTGATGACGTATTAATAGCAGCACCCACAAAAAACCAATTAGAAAAACGTCTCAGAACAGTCCTACAGAGGTTCAAAAACGCTGGCCTCAAGGTTAAGAAGGAAAAGTGCCAGCTTTGCACAGAAAGGGTGGAGTTTCTTGGCTACCTCCTTGACAAGCAAGGAATCCACCCCACAGAAAAAAAATTGGCAGCTATCAAAAACGCCCCAAGACCTAAAAACAAAACCGACCTCCAAGCCTTCCTGGGACTTATTAACTTTTATAACATCTTCCTACCCCAGAAGGCGACTGTTGCTGAGCCCCTTCATAGACTACTTGATAAAAGGGCATCCTGGAATTGGGGACGTCGGGAGAAACACGCCTTCCAGCAAGTAAAAGACCTCCTTACCTCAAAGGCAGTACTAATTCAGTATAACGAGACACTACCTTTGACTGTCACGTGTGACGCCTCACCATTTGGGGTAGGGGCCATCCTGAGCCACGTCCTACCAAACGGCTCAGAAGCACCAATTGCATTTTTTTCACGAACTCTATCAAAAACAGAAAGAAACTATAGCCAATTAGATAAGGAAGCCCTTGCTATTGTCTCTGCAATAGAACGATTTCATGAATATGTTTATGGGAGACCATTTTCTATTATAACGGATCATAAGCCACTACTTGGGATCCTGGTGGGCAACAAACCTACTCCACACATCCTCTCCCCCAGAATGACGCGATGGTCGGAATTTCTCGCTGCCTACGACTATCAATTAAAGTACCGCCCGGGGAAATCTATTCCCCACGCAGATGCCTTGAGCCGCTCACCGCTACCCAAGCCACAGGAAGACCCAGCTCCCACACTCCCCGTACTGCAAATAGAGACAATGCCATCGCCTCCACTAACGGCTCAAGACATCGCTTTTGAAACCAAAAGAGACTCTTGTTTGGCACGAATTCTTGGCTGGGTGGAGAGGGGATGGCCAGATTACGACACTAAGGAAATGTTTAAGCCGTTTAAAAACAGACAAACGGAACTTTTTTCACAAAAAGGGTGCGTTTTGTGGGGAGACCGAGTTGTTGTACCAACTAAGTTACAAAAAAGGGTCTTGCAAATGCTACACGATGGACACCCGGGCATCGTACGTATGAAAGCGCTGGTAAGAAGTTACGCCTGGTGGCCAGGTATAGATAAACAAATCGAAACCTGGGTCGCCTCTTGTAACAAATGCCAGGAAAACCACTCAGCTCCACCTAAAGCCCCACCAACAGAATGGGAAACACCCAGGGGTCCTTGGTCTCGCATTCATATTGACTTTGCGGGACCTACGAGAGGCCACACCTTCTTAATAACTGTTGATGCCTACTCAAACTGGCTTGAGGTCAATAAAATGAAAGCAACCACTACTGAGGCGGTCATTAAAAAACTGAACAGACTCTTCACCACACACGGGTTACCAGATGTCCTGGTCTCTGACAATGGGCCCCAATTTACTGCCTTAGCCTTTGAACAGTATTTAGCGGAACGGGGCATCCGACACGCACTCACATCGCCGGCTCATCCTGCGGCGAATGGCCGGGCTGAACGAATGGTTCAGTTTACAAAGAAAAACCTACAGAAAATGGATCAAGGCAACATCCACGACAAAGTCACTAGAATGCTGCTCCTACAACACATCACACCAAACAGCACGACCAACAAGTGCCCAGCTGAACTCCTGATAGCCAGGAAACTCAGATCGCCTCTAGATCATTTGCACCCTGCCTACACCCCGGAAAAGCCCCTGGGTTCCAGTAGCAAGCACCGTGTTTTCAAGGTAGGAGACCTTGTTTTCGCAAAAAAATTTTCTGGGGATCCCCTTTAGATTCCTGCCCAGGTAACTCAAGTTACTGGCCCCCGCTCCTACCGTCTACTCACCACTGATGGCAGACCATGGAAACGCCATATTGACCAACTGCGCTCCAGACTAACCACATCTTCCAACCCTGACCCTAACTTTGACACTAGGGGGGGAGGGGAAGCAGTGAACTCAGAATTAGAACCAACACCTGTCTATTCCGAGCTATCACCGAGATCACCGCACCATGGTCGGCAACACTCACCAGCTGCAACTGAGACTGGACAGTCGAACGCTTCGCCAGGAAGCAGCAACCAGGCAGGTTCAGCGAGTCCCGGGAGCCAGGACAGTAACAGCGAGGCTGAGGACTTCATCACCCCGGGGGCACCAGAGGAGAGCCTGGACCATGACACCGGTTCACCGTTCCTGTTTGATCCAGCAAGCAGTCCATCTGAACCTGGGTTTGAACAGGGTCAAGTGGAACTGCGTAAGTCAGGCAGACAGGTGCGAAGACCTGCTTACCTGCGAGACTATATTACTCCACCCCTTAAACAGAACCGAGAGGGGAGGGATGTTCCGGACTAGCAGGCTCGTAGCCTGCAAATCTGATTGGCCCACTGAAAACCGATCGTGATTGGTCGCCATAGACTGATGCGATTGGCCAGTAAACGGGCTGCCGTGATTGGCCCTGCCAAGAGCGGCAAACTCAAATCGCCTTCATTGGCTGCCTAGCCGCAGCCAGCCCTATATAAGGGGCTGCTGCGGCTGGGGTTAGTTGCTCAGATCTGAAGTCACAAATAAAGAGCTTTAGTTACTATCTGAGTCTTGACTCCGTTCTTGAACCGTCCTCCCAGATATAACAGATTATACTCTTCACACTGGCAAATTTTTACTGTGTTTGCAGGCAAGTTACCTTCTTGAAGAAAGAATTTGTTGAATATTATTTTAAAAATTCTGGATACATATTGTTTATTTGTATTTAACAGAAAAAGGATGCTTAGAATATGAATTTTTGAAAGTTAACAGAGAATTAAGGATCAGACTTTGAAGTATGATTTTTATTAATTAGAATAGTTCTTCTCATGGGAAAATGGTGATTGGGGATTTTTTTTAAAAAGGAAACATGGCAGTGGTACCTTGAATGTTTGAGACTTGTGAGCTACAAGATAATACATTTTTCTTGTTAATTAGCAATGTGTTAGCAAAATGTTTTGATGGGTATTTTTTAATATCGGTCTTCAAAATGGCTTGATATGATACGGAGTGTATTAATGAAGTTACAGAAGAAGTAGTACACCAGATAATTTTTATGTAGATTTAAATGTGTCAAATGTGGGGGTGCCGCCTGAGTCAGGAAGGACACACAGAGATATGCAAGTGGTGCTGCACTGACTGGGAGGCATATGGGGATGCAACATGGGTCAGAAAGATGCAAGGTAAATGTGCAGGTAAGGTTGTGTGGAGGTGAAAGACTCACCCAAGCAACTTGTAATCTTTGCTGCCAACTTTCCCACTTCTGATGCTCCCTGTTATCTTGCTTGTGAGAAGCTGTCAGGAAGCATCAGCAATCACAACTGAGTTTCCACTTTCTCCAGCATCTTATTGACTTCTGGAAAGCCAGCATGGAGCATTAAAAATGTGGCTCACCACTGTGGTGCAGCAATGCTGAAATAGCAGCAGTATGGCAGCCCTGAAGTGGTTATAACTTTCCCAAATTTCATTCCCATGGGAATCATGGTTCCTGGCATTCTATAAGTTAGCCTATTTGAAGCACATTGGTTCAAAAATTGCACCCCTTTGATGCACTGTTTTGGCCAGTTGAAGGTTAGAAGCAGAATGTTGAATAACAATTAGAACAAAAATTGCTATAATTTTGTTGTACCAGATTAATTCAATATTGCAAAACTTAAAAAATGATAAAGATTGCAAATAAAAATCTCTTTCTGAAATATATAAATATAATTCAAAAATGCACTATGTTTTATGTGAAATACATTATGGTGTATCAACTATAAGGCTAAAAGCAGCTTGGGACTTAGTTTAGAAAAAAAAATAGATCAGAATAATTGGCAGTATTTATGGTAGCAGGAGGATTTGTTACCAACATCTACACAGAAAATATGCTTTTAAATTGATGGCATCAAACTTCAGTAAGCATCTCACACATATCTTTAAAATGTTGTGTGTTCTTATGATGCTTTAAACTGAGTGAAATATTCTTTTAACTCTGATAGGAATGTAATATTTTAGATTTTTAGAAGAAAATGTTTAATGAAATGTCATGTATTACTAAAAGGAAAGTTTTTAATTTTATTTACTTAGTTACTTACTTTTTTCAACTTGTGTGGTTGCTCATTTGACTCTGGGTGGCAAACAACAGTAAAAGGAATAGCACTATAATAATATATAAACAGCAGCTGAAACAAACCACAAGCATCTATTAGCATAACCTGACATCTATTAGCATAACCTGACATTTCAAAGTATTTCCAGTATGTTTCAAGCTCCATGCCAGTTGAGAAATTTCGAAGGCTTTACACTAGACCAACAGGGTCCAGGCAGTCTCTTGAGGATGATGGATGATATTCCAAAGAACAGGTACCACAGAGTTTGCTGTTTAGGTCCTGCCAAGTGACACACTTTGATGGGACTCATAGCATGCCCCTTATGTTAGATCTGACACAACCGATAAACACAATCGGAGAAGTAGTTCCACAAATAACCCAGTCCACCCTATGAAGGACCATATAGATATTGTAACTACCATACTAACATTAGCAAGCAGTGCAGCTTATGGAACAGATGTGTAACATACGCAAATGGATAAATGTGCATACCTGCCAACACTACAGCATTTGAAATCACTTGCAGGATCCAGAGGTTTAACCATCATCAGCTCAAAATAAAATGCATTGCAATGGTAAATTTGAGAAATGACCAAGGCAGGAACATTGATCTAGTACAAGGGTCTTCCAACTTGGCAAGTTTAAGACGTGTGGACTTCAACTCTCAGAATTCCTGAGCTGACATGACTGGAGGAGGAATTCTGGGAGTTGAAATCCACAAAGCTGTCAAGTTTGAAGACTCCTGATCTAATATATTGTGACTGAGCTGATATTCCTAAGGACCTTGTCTATTTCATCAGGACTCATAGACTGAAACACCTAGATAATCAAAGTAAAGTAGGTTTCAGTTACCTGTACAGTATCTGCTTTCATTATTTTCAAAGTTAGGCTTTTTATGCATTTTACAAAGTAAAAAAAAGTTTCTACTTCTAACAGTCAAGTTAATTATTGCTAAATAATGGAAATAATTAGATAATATATCAGTGGATGGATGTTTCTATAAAGTCTGAACTATACTTTTGCCTGAGAGAATCTCTGAAAAGTTCCATTGTATGACAAAAAAAGTAAGTAAATATAAAATAAGCATCCTGCAAACAACTAGTATCAAAAATTATGGGCAAGTTAAAATGTGCCAGCACTATATAAATTTTAGGATTTAAAAATAAAAATAATAATGAAAACAATATTGCTCTGGCATTAGCTTTTCAGCAATAATTTCTTGGATGAAACTTGCATTTATCTTTCAACTTACCAATTGTCAAGATGCTCATTTTACTTTTGTTGAAGGTTTGGCTTTAGTAGCTCTTTAGAGGCTGGAACATTAGATGGGATTATTAGTGCAGAACTCATGAGCAAAACCAAATTGAAGCATGACAAAATCTGGAAAGCATGCTCATCTACATCCCAATGAATTTAGAACAAATTAGAATTTGGCAGCAGTCCTTAGATTTAATTAATTTTTTGTTTGTTTATATTAGTCTGATTTTAACAGTATTAGAAGGTGCCTGTTCATCCAACAAAAATTTATCCCAGGAGTAAATTAAGAATATACAGCTAGTTTATTGCAGCAATGACAAAGAGAGCTCATTAACACATACTTGTAATGAGAAGTGTAAGCTGTTTTGCATTTTTATGATAGAAGGCTTAGAAAGATTTGGAAACATTTATTTTTGTCATTTATGAAATTTGCAGAGTGATATAGAGATTGACAGCATTATGGCAAATAAATTTATGATGTCAATATCCTTAGTGAATACAAATATAGTTTTAAATCTATTTGGATATAAAATGTTTCATAAGAGAGGTAGGAAGAAACATTGTATTATATTAGCTAGTTTAGAAGGAAACTATAATTGTATTGTGTTCTTCATGTGAAGAACATTTATATAGGCTAAGGCAATTTCTCAAGTTTAGCAATTTTGTGATGAATGAACTTCACCTCCCGGAATTAGAAAGTTGCATGGGTAGTACTGTTACCACTATCTTAATCCATTTGCACAATGCAGTTTTACTCAAAAGCCTGCATTTTCATATAAGTTGCATAAATTTTAAGGTAAGCTCACTTTCTGTATTAGAAAATAGGAGCTGGGTATTCACTTAGATCAGCTGAAACTGAATATTCTTACTTACTGCAGCTCAATTCAGTCATATTGATTTATGTAAATGTGATGAAGTTTGTATCTAAAGCAAGGTAAACATTTGGTTTTGAGTAAATATAAAATAACTTTTGGTGGGTAGTTTTCATTTCATTTGATATTTTCCCTGTTAAGGTAGCACTTTTCTCCAGATGAAACTCCATTGCAATATTTTGACTATATATATGGACAGTTTTCAGCAATGATTCTATTTCAGATGGTAATTGTCCATACAGCTTCAGATGATCCATCTAAAGGCAGTGGGATAACCTCTTATTTTCTTCTATAACAACAACTCTGTGAAGTAGGTTGGGCTTAGAGAGAATGACTGCCCTAAAGTCACCCAACTGGTTTTCATGCTGAAAACAGACCTAGAATTCATGGTTTTCTAGTTTCTAGACAGCACCTTCAGCACTACACCAAACTGGCTCTTATACCATGCTTTCCAAGAATGTTATTAGAATGCGTTTTAAGTATTTTCTTTCATATAAAACCTATTTAGAATATTACACATATAAACTTTAAGAATTAAAATTTATCAGAAGAGGGCAGCCTTTACTCATGTATTATAAATTAATTGGGAAATTCTAAAGTTGGAGTTGGATATTCATGTAGCAAAATGTGTGAATTTTAAAACTCTGGCAAGTCATTACTATTATCAACATTTATTGTTTATGTATTACATTGCTCTTTATTTAATATAATGATGAAATATTTTAATACATTGATTTTCATTAACATTTTAGATTAGATTCCAAGCTATTTATTTATTGTAATTACATATTCCCTTAGTACACTGAGTTTGTTCTTCTTTATTGACTTTATCAACACAAGATAGTACCAACACACAAAAGGGAAAATTAGGCTTGATATAACCCCAAGATTTGCAAATTATTATAAGGGCAAAAATTATAAGAAATATTAAAAAGCAAAGTAGGCAAGTAAGCAATGAAAGCTGAACATGATCAGTAGCTACAAAACAGTAGGCTTTTTAACTATAGTCAACCAGTGAGTAATGTTCTGGTTTGGAGATGTCTTTGCTCCCACTCAATGGCCATCTCAATTTTTACAGTTCAGATCTGAGTCTGTGGCTGCACTATGTTTTGGTGGCCTGTTTAAAGGATGGATGGTGATGTGATACTATGATGTGATACTACTGCAGTGGCAGGCTTTAAATTTCCACACCTGTTTGTCTTTGTGTGTGTGCCTTTGGGTATGAAGATTTTTAGGGATAAAATTGTTGCCTTAAGATTGCAGAAAGTGTGACTTTTCTCTCAATTCCTTCTGCAAGCTACCCAGTTCCAGAAACACACAAGGTCCATTTCAGTTCTGCCTTCTAGGAACTACTAGTAGGATGATTTCATCCATGAGGTGCAGAATATCAACTTGTGCAAAAATCATGGTTTTAAAGCTGCAAGTCACAGTTGAGATTGCCCACATCATTCTAAACCAAGAGAGTAAACCCCAGGGCATCAAAGATTATAGCCTCTCAAATGCTCAGACGGCTTTTAATAATTGTTGTTATCCCTGGATTTGCAAGCTTAGCATGGATATTTTACTCAGCATACCCTGTGAGATATGCAGAGACAAGAGAAGGAAGGATGTGAATTCAGAGTATCCCACTTAATGAAGTCACTTCATAGCCATGAGAACAGAAACATAGAGATGCTGAAGCATACACAGCTTCAGAATAGAGATAAGAAAGAAATATTGTGATAATAAGGGATGGAGGTAAGAAAGATGGTACTTAGAATGGGTGTTGATTACATTGAATCTCTGGCACTAAATACACTTTCATAACATTTTGTGCTAGCATAAAAATATGGAATAATTTGACCCTGACCAGCTGGTGTAATTCACAGATGAGCCATTTGTAAAATATTCCTAATAAAAAAAACATACATTCTTTGATTTTTTTCAATATTACAATATTCTGGAAATCCCATATGTATAATGAGAAGGCATTAAAAGATTAGTTTATTTAAAATTTGGCAGTTGGAGTGGAGCCTGCTAATTTAACAAATGTCAGGTGCAAGTTTTTGAATAAGTACCCTGTATCTGAATATAATAATAATATATTGTGAATGATCAGATCATTAGTCTATCTTGGAAAATGAAAAACAGCTTTGTGATAGGAATTACTATTATGATTGTCTGGAATGAGACCATGATGGTATTCAAGTTGCATTATTCAGCCAATAGGCGGCTACCAGAGTTCACAGGGAGATTATGTTAACATCAAATTCAAATCTGAAAGCAAAGAAGGGAAAAATCCATAATCACTTCCAAGTCTATACTACTATACAAGTAGAACTTAGAAAACTCAATTTATTCCAATAGATAAATAAATTATTGAAATAAAGTTCCATCAGTAGCTGTTCTCATTATCTACTAAGCCAGGGTTGTCAAACTCAATTTCATTGAGAGCTGCATCAGGGTTGTGTTTGACCTTGGGGTGCTGGGGTGGGTATGGGCAACATGACGTCGCTTGTGTCGGGGGGCGCCTTTGGTGGCCCAAGTGCTGTGCCAGAGAAAATGGAACTCATGAGGGCTGCGCGCAGCTTTCTCAAGCTCCTTTTTCACTGACAGAGGCACCGCAGGCCAGATCTAAGCACCCCTCGGGCCAGATCTGGCCCCCAGGCCTTGAGTTTGACATCCCTGTACTAAGCCATAAACATTACATATTTGTTTTCAAAGATTTTTTTAAATAAGTTGGTTATTTCAAAAAGGGACATAAGACTGAAAACAAAAAGCTCAGAGTATCTCTCTAAATGAAGCCTACAATTCTAAAATGTTTCACTTCAACTTAAATATAGCTGTGAAGAATCTTACGAATTCATTAATTAGTTCTTTTACATATGACATTTCATTAATGTTCATTTTCTGACTTGCATGTCTGATTCATCATATTCTATAATTAAATGCTGTAATTCATGATTTTTTTTACAGCAAGAACCTATTCTATGTAGGCATTTAAAATGCATATTCATAGTGTACACTGGTGCAATTGTTTAGTTGATAAAATTCATATTATTTGTGCTGTAAATTATACTGTAATACACCAACAAAGACAAACGCATCAGGGAAATTAAATCATCCAGGATAAAAAAATAGTTAGAAATGAATAGATTGATAAATTGTTGCATGATTTTTCATAAATAAAATATTTTTAATTTGAGCAATAAGCCTTTTCTCCCTCTTAATTTAGGCTGTCAGAATTTTGTGATTTATATGCTGATTTGTACTTGCACATACAAATTACAATATTATTTCACAGACTTCACAGATTACAGATTTCACAACCTTAAGATGTTTTCTATATTGCATGATAAACTCATGATGACCCGAGAAGCATACAAATGTATGTAGCTAAGATTAGCATGCATGCACACGTATACACACACACATACACACACAGAGTCCTACTCCTATTTTTCTCACAACAACAACCATGTAAGATAAGTTGGGCTGAGAGTGAGTGATTGGCTCAAAGTCACCTAGCTGATTTTTCATGCCTAAAATAGGACTAGAACTCACAATCTCTGAGTTCTAGTCTGGTTGCATATGAGTGTGGTTTGTTATTGGTCTGTTTTTGTTTTTATCCATAACTGAATTTCTGAATCTTATCTGCAATAGTATTGCATGATTCTAGGTTAATAGGGCTAGAAAATTTCAATTTCAATTTCATACTGCTGTAAGAGTGGAATCTGTCATGAAGATGATAGGGGTTGTCATTACTGATACCTGGTGCAGTCCATGAAGGTAACCATATACTGTACCTACTTTCATGTTAGAACTGTGATCTGAAGATGATAGGAGGTTGTGATCAATTATAAGATATGATCTTCTGATCTGCATGTAGTTATGAATACCATTGGTCTCTGAAGATGGATGACTGATTAATCTAGTTTATCTCGGTTTTGTTTGAGCAATCAAGGATTTTCCCAACAATATTGTGGGCAATAATTTAAGCTTTTACCAATTAAACGATTCCATCATTGTCCTCAAAATATACTCCATTATGCTTGCCTGCAGTGCCCCCTTGCCCCTACAACATCCATGTACCCACTGGCCTCTTTGCCTCTTTCCATTTGATGGCCCACAAAGTTCTTGGGTTACAATTGTAACTGGATCTGCCAGGATTGCTGTTGCTAAGCAATGTGGTCATGTGATGTCATACTTTATGACTGCATCACTTAGTGATGTAAATTTCAGTCCCAATTGCTGTTATAACTGGAGAACTATTTGTAAGCATTGTCATTGAAATTATATAGAAAATTGATAAAATTAGATAGGAAAAGACAATCATCTACACTTAGAAAGTTTCAGGAATTCTGATCTGTGTAAGTTCAAACTTTAAGATAAAGCAGAAAGAAATAAAGATTTGATGATGCTAAAATCATTGTGAAAGTAATTCTTCAGGTGAAATCAGTAAACTGTCTTAACACATTAAAATAAACCATACTTTTACTATAGTTTGTTACATAAACTATAATTGGTTTAGCACATCACATTAAATCATAATTCATGGCTATAAAGGTTCCATGTCAACTCGAAAGCTGAAACCAACTTGTTAGTCATTAAGATAAATTTTAAAAAACCAAAACAATTTGAACACTTTATATCATACTATGGTGCTTCCATCAATATTCTAAATAGTGTTTTTCTTGCCATATATGCAAACATGTACACTAATTGCCAACTGACCAGATTGGTCAACATTATAAATTAGTGACAGAATCAAGAACTCTGTAACAGAAGATTTCTGGGTTGTTACTTTTGCATTTTCCACAAAGCAATATATTTATTGGGAAAAAAAATAAATCTATCTTTTAAGTAAATTGCATTCTGCTTATAATATTTCACAGCAGTTCTAGTTATGAGTCAGCATATTTCTCAGCACTATTATATATATATTAGAAATCATCTCTGAAATTTGCTTCTTTGTAGCACTGAAGTGTCATTTTCTATTATAACTTCCTAAACTCAGTGGCGGGAATAGTGGTAGAAAGTTAGGGAGGGTGATTATGGAGTTTCAGTAACTATTGATACAGTACCCAATACTGGACAAGAGATCATAAAAAGTCACAAATAATGAGGTTATTACTGGCATTATCTGTTGTGGATATTGCTATGGTGAAATATTTCTTCTATCTGTTGTGGATATTGCTATGGTGACATATTTCTGAGTCCCTGCTATCTGCATCTTGCCACAGACCAGAGAAGCCTTTATCTGTAGCTATAACTGGGTATTCTGTTTCATCCAGTCACATGAGTCTCTCCTCATATAACATTATAATTTTTTTCTTTTAAAATATAGTAATTCCATAACAATAACATTTATATTTACTTACTTACTTACTTACTTACTTACTTACTTACTTACTTACTTATCACATTTATGCACAACCATCTCCATCAAAGTGGGCAGTAAAACATCAAAACATAAAAAGGTATATAAAAATGTTAGAATTAAATTTTGGATTACAATTTTTAAAGGGGGCAAAAATAATGAAACTGCTAAACATTAATTAAGGCAAGGGAGATCTCAGTGGACACCAACCAGCCCATGATTGCCAGTTCCTTTGGGTTTCCCGGATAAGCCTAAGAACCACACTTTAACTCCTTTTTGGAAGGCCAGAAAACTGTAGGCCTGCCTCATCTCTGGGGAGGGAGAGAATATTTCAAAGGATATGGAGCAATGGCAAAGAGGTGTTTCTTCCTAGATCCTGCTAATTGAATTTTTTTTATCTGATGCATAAAACCATAGCATGCCCTCTTCAAGCAGTATGCACTCAGGTGATGCCGAACATCCCCTCCCCAGCCCATATAACTCACGAAACAGCAACAACCCATTTTACTCTATAGTACTCACCTGACCTCTAGCCTGTTTGTGAGTTGTCTGAAAAGTGTAATTTCCTGGTAGCTTCTCCATTGGATTTGTTTGTGGGAAGCCAACAGGAAGTTGCAAGTTGTGGTTGAACCAATTTCTTCAATTATATCAACAGTGGGAACTACCAAGATTGCCATCACTAAGCAATGTAGTCATGTGACCTCGTCATTTAGCAATAAAATTGCAGTCTCAACTACAAGCAAGAAGTACTGTACAACAAAGGGAAGGGGAGGAGAGAAAAATAGATTTAATAAGTCATAAGATTAATCTGAATGGCATTAAATCGCCTTCTGGTTGGGTTAACTCTGTGAAGGAAGCAGGACTTCTAGATCTTCACAAATATTTTGAACTAATGCACAAATATAAATAGACAGTTTATGAGATATAATGCAACAATATGTAGCATATGAAAAGTCTGGGATGAATATAGAGTTAGATTAATGGGCTCTCACTTTGCTATTAAACATTTATTTTCAAGAAGAGGAAAGCAGAAAGAAATTAGTTCAGTGGAGAAATAGCAAATTTTATAGCCTGCAAAATTTAATTATTAAAATGAAGATGAAATCTTTCTATCTGTTTTGAATGGCCAGAATCTCTCAACTACTTTAAATATCTAAATAAAAACCCAGCATATTAAACCTTTGTGGTTTAAGGAAACTGCAAAAAGAAGGGAGATTTGGGTGAATTTGACAAGCTTGTACCATAAAATTCAGAGAATTTGCTGAGCCTTATTTATGAACTATTGGTGAAATATGAGTCCGAAACCAAATGTTAAAGATTAAATAAATTCACAATTCAGATAGAATAATTAATATACTATAATGCATTGCAGCAAGGAATTGCAGTGGAAGAATAACCTTAAATTCACTTTGAATATTAGAATACTATATTAGGGAAAACTGGAATAAGTTGGTTTGCTATTGGAATATTATTTAGCAATAAAGATTGCTAAAATAGATAGGTTGTTCCCTAAAAATTATTAGAAATATAATGACCAGTTGGAATATTTTTCCATTTTGAGGCCATTGTTGCAAAGTTCAACAACTTTGGAAAATAATGTATAATTGAATGAAACAAAATTAAATACCTTGCTTTGTTGTAATTCATGCTTGTCCAGTTGGTCTGGACAAGAAAATGGATGAACAAATGGGCTGAACTTTAGTGGTTCTCTAGAGATATGAAAAGCTGGGCAGGAGAACATTTCATAACATTCCAGTATTTTTCTATACATTAACAATACATTAACAATATGCTACAATTGATTTGCCAGGATGTGTGTCAAGTGGTTGGCTATTTCTGACATGAGTGACTTTGCCTGGAAAATACTATTTCTATTTGTGAGAATGTACAATTGGTTCTAAGCAGAACACTATTTATAAAAAATAATGTGTATTTTTTATTTAGCTTGAATGTCACTGACTTAACAAATCTGAGCATTTTGACTGCATAGGATTCTTTTTTTTACACAGCAATGAGATTCATTCACACGCCCAAATTTTCTATGAAAACTGCTCACATTTCTGGTAAATAAAATATGACTGGAATAATCATATAGCAGGCTTGGAATAGTAAACCTGTTATGTCCGTGGAACTGGTGGGGGTTCCCAACCAGGTCCGCTGTTTGAGCGGGAGCACCAGCCGCTCCCATTGGTTGGCTCCGTTTGACAGTCGGCTATATAAGCCGGCTGTCGGGCAGAGCCAGCCCGTTGTCGCCCGCTAGTCTGCAAGTTAGCAAGCAGACGCGACAACCCTTTATTCCCCGCAATAAAGCCTTGTTAGTTGTACACTCTGGTCTCATGCCTCTTACTTACCATCGCTCTACAACAAAACCATAAAGGAATGGTTTGATCATGCATATTTTAATGGTATTTCCTTAGGCTTTACAAATGGATTTAGGCAATTACAAGCATCATTGTGAAATAATATTATAAACCTCAGGAACTGCACTATATCCATACATTATGAAAAACTGTTAACATAATGAATTAACAAGTGCTGTCCAAGCAGTTTCCTATATGTTTAACTGCTAAAAAGCAGCACCCTGCCATCGAGAGTTGACAAATATATAAATTATCTGGTGGAATTCAGGCCAGGGAGAATGCTATTTGTACTATCTTTTTTTCAAGTAATCCTTGTCACTTGGAATGCTCTTAATCAAAATATATTCCCTTGCTGGTCCTCTAATTGTCGAATCAAACATGATGTCTTTCCCCCCCACAAGAATATGAAAATTAATAATAAAGACTGCTGATGGCCATTTTGAATTAACCTCATATTTCCATTTATTTGGCAAAACTAACTGCCATGATGGCAGGTGGGGAGGGTTGTCAAATGTGTAGGACTTTTCCTGTTATATAATTTGGGACAAATAAATAATGGTTGGGTATGACTTGAAACATAATTTCTTGCTATGTGTGTAAACAAATCCACACATGAGTGATGCAATGGGAAAGAAAAGAAAGCAGAATATGATGCTTTGAACTTTGCTATTAGAGAAGACATGCAGAGGACACCATGGCTTACAAAGAAAACAAATGCATGATATAACAAATCAACTCAGAGTTTGATCATTGAAAGACAGACAATTTTTATGTTCCTTAGATATATTCAGTAGATCAGAGCTTAAATACTATGTGTCTCTAGTTTCTTTAATGGAACAAGATAGCTAGAAAATAACAGATAAGATCAAAGACAGATAGTGGTAAGGAGAAATTGTCAAATAATAATCATTACTGAGTAGTAAGGCAGGAGGAGAGTTGGTACTACTGGTAGGTAGGTAACAAGGTAGTTGTAGACATAATCATCTGCAAATCCAAGCTGCATATTAGTGATCCGCCCCTTACATACTGGAATTTTATAGTTGCAAACACTGTACAAATTGGCTGTAAAAGTTGTTCTGATCAAACTGATTATATTCTACATGATTAAACAAATGCAAGCTTGCTAGTTTCCCAGTTTAAATTTGTAGATGAAGACTTTCTTGTTTTAATAACTAAAAAGCCGTTGGGGTTTTAGGGAAATCATATTAACTTTCTTGCAGTTGCACAACTCCTAAATTATTTATAGCAAGTCTTTGAAGTGTAAATTGTATATTTCCCTCTAAACAATTAGACCAAAAGATTAAAAAACAACCATTTGCACTATAGGCAAAGAAACAGAGAAAAGACAGCTATTTGTCACGAGAAGGAAGATTTAATTTGCATGTTTCATCTACATGGTGAGGTGTAAATGAATTTTATTTTTATCTAGATTAATATGTAAATAAATTCCCTGAAGCTCTCCTACGATACAACTATTCTATGGTACTAAATAATAACAACCTTAAATCCAGTGTATTTGAAGGTTAAATGTCTATAGAGATTCTCAATCATCCAGGTCAGTGGCGTCAAACTCGTGTCACAGCAGCGTCACGTGATGTTATTATTATTATTATTAAATTATTTCAATTTAATGATTATAATTCCTAGAATTTCGAGAAACTACGTCTCAATCCTACCTTTATACTTCTAAAACACTGGATCAAACACGTTGTTTGATCCAAAATATCATTCAATTGGGCAAAATATTGCATAATAGAGCGATTTTGGGAATAATTATGCAATGTGTTGCTTAGTGAGTCGAGGATCCAGTTTGGGACTACTTATGTAAAATAAGTCATGTTTGGTGGGAGGGGATACATGTCATTGTTTTAAGATAGAAAAAGGGTAATTGGGTCAAACAAACTGCCATAACATGGATTGACAGTAATACATATTTTAAAATGATCTGCTGGTATATATGCAACATGGGATTTTCTTCAATCCAATTATCATCTGGTCTTCAAGTCATTAATATTATCAGATAAGGATATTTTATTATTTTTATTTATTTACTTTATTAATCAAATTTATTAAAGCTGCCCATCTCATGATCAGTGACTCTGAATAAGTGATTATATAATCAAATAAAAACTATACATATAAAACAAGCATTTAAAATATATTTTAAAACTCAACATTAAAAATTAGAAGTTAATTAAAATATATACAAACCATAGGCAGAGAGTGAATGAGTATATCAACCTCAATGGTGGAACATTCTAAAAATTCTGTCTCATTTTGTGGGGGCTCCAGGTCTGGTGACATAATTGCTCTGACAAGAAGACCAGATCTGCAATGTGACCACTGCTATCTCAGGCTCTAGATGACTTGTAGGCTCATGGCTGTCATAGTAGCTATGAACTTCAGAACCCATTTGTAAGAAGGCAGATTGAAGTCCCCAAGTACACCAGTATATTATAACATCTTAGGTTCTTGTGAAGAATTTTATGCAAATGAAAACCAATAGTAAAGAACTGACAGCTGCTATATCATGTTGCTGTATATATGACATAATAAAACAGTGAGAAAAGAAGTCCAAGAAATCAGGCATGGTCTGAAAATTAAAAACTGAACTACTAGAATATAAACACAAAACACAAGGATAGTGCTGGTTTGTTTGTATAAAATTATATATAAATATTAGCTGATTCATTAACTAAAAGAACTCTAGATGGCATTCAATGATAGCATTTTAAAATTAGCATAAACATAGCCAGTTATAATGAAAAAATATAATTCATCCATCAATGGGAAACAACACCATAAAGCAACAATAACCAAATAAGGTCACAAATGACCCCATTTAAAATCCTGCTGAACAGTCAGATCTTCAGGGTTTTTCTGGAGGACAACAGGATTGGGCCCATGTAGATTTCTAAAGTTATTGAAGTAGCATTGTTTCTTGGGAATAACTCAGTGTGTATGAAGACCAACATGAGCCAAAGAAATGGCAGCTGTGATTTCTCATTTTTTTAGTATATAACAACAGTAATCCTCCAGTGAGGCTCTACCTTGACATGGATGTGGGGCTTGCATGCATAAAGAAGATGGTGAGGTTCCACCATACTGGATGGATCTCATTAGATGACTAAGACAGAGAGTAAATCTCCCATAAATAATATGGCGAGAAGCAATTTACAGAAGCCTACCCTGGAAGAGACAATCATTGTTTAGTTGAAAACAAGCTGTTTCCACCTGTGAAGAAAGCAAACTGCCAAACAGTAAATGAACAATCGATTGACTTGCTTGACAAGATGATTTTGTAAGATCTCATGAGAAGGAAGACGAACTTGAATATAGTTTGGATTGATTACAAGGCATTTGATTTCCTGCCACATGATTGGATAATCAAGTTCCTAGAAAGAGCAAGAGTCAGTAGAAACATTAGAAGCTTTGTGTAAAAATCATTGGTGCATCGGAAGAAACACTTGCTGATCAATTGGAAGAGGTTAATATCAAGAGAGAAATCTTTCAAGAAGACAATAGAGGTAATATAAAGTGTAATAATATAAATTTCATAATATAAACTTCATTAAATTCTCTGAGAATTTAAAATTCAAACTGACAAGCATGTGCTATAACACTCCAGTCTTAACAATTATTGACAAGAAAGAAAAAAAAATCAGGGTAGTAGAAATTGCAGTACTGAGAAAGCACCAAAGAAGAGAAAGAACTAGAAAACATCACAAAATTCAAAGGCCTAACAATTGAAATAAAATAACTGTGGCAAAAAAAGCAAAGATAGTACCAGTAGTAGGCACTTTGAGTACAATCCCAAATGTTCCTATTGGAACACTGTTTGAATACCTTTGGCATTGAGAAAATCACCATCAGATTTTGCTAAAGGTAATTTTTCTTGGAACAGCTTATTTCCTGTGATAATCTATTTAGCACATCAAACAACATCTTCCTTTCCCAAGTCCTTGGGAAGGATTTGCTAGGTAGATAAAAATGCCAAATCCAGTCTTAACATTTGGCTGATTGTGTGATCAACTAAAATATACCATAATAGTTAATCTAACAGGCAACATTACATACACTGAGTTACATCCATTCTTAAAATGCTATATTCTTACTGTATTCAGGTTGCCCTAGCCTAATATGAATTATGCTTCATCTTAAATATTACCTACCAAGATATTTGAAACTGCAACATTCCATAAGGAAAAACTTTGAAAATTAGAAAACAACCTTTGTTTCAGATTATAAGAGTACATGCTCTATTCTCTAACAAATCTTCCTTTTGCATGATGATATGGATAGACATAGACTGAATGCACAAAGGATATAATTAAGGCAATTAAAGTAAATCTTATTCCCAATTGTCTTCAGGTGTTAAGTGCACCGTCTATACACTGTATATATAAAAGCCTATAGAGAAATCTTTGCCCATTTGATGCACAGCATAAATATTGCATAATAATCTCAGTGAACTATAAAGCTTTATATTTGAAGGATATTGAGTTGGGGAAGGCTGGCATAAAGTGGCATAAGAGCTTTGGCTGGGTTCTATTGTTCTTGTCCAGTTTGTTGAATAATTCATAGTAGCCTATTCTCACAAAATTGAATCATAAATCATAGTTTTCAAAACATAATTGTTGACTTAAGATATTTATTGGGTTAATTTCCCATGAAAATGTTATGATTTAATATGATGAATGAATTCAGTCAAAATTTGTAGATAGACTACTTACTACCGAGATTTTGATGCATGCTATTTTATGTTATTGGTCTACAAATATTGATAGTGTAAAAGGCCTATAGTATTGGCTCAAATAAACAAAAACAAACACAATAAAACCAAGTCTAGCTTTTAATGCAGTATAAACTTGGAGCCAAGTATATCAAACTCATGTGGTTATTCTCTTAACTAGTGAACTATAATATGTTATACTAGAAATTGGTGAAATCGATGAGCTTTCCTTTAATTGTTCATATGCTGACTTTCAGGGAAAAACGAAATCGTGGTTTTGGATATATTTTTTCTTTGTATGTGTTCCAAATAAGATTATATAATTACATTAGACAATTAAAATTACTTCAACATCAAAAATAAAATAAATGCATGCATGCTTTTTACTCAAGTATTTTAAACCACACTGCAAACTTACTTAGCTAAGAGTCATATGGTCATGTCTAATCTAATTGAAACACTTCAGCAATACAGAAAGGTCAAGGAGGAAAAACTAGGATCAGGAAAGGGAAAGAAAGCATCCATTAACTAATTGCAAAAGAAAGGTACCCATCTTATGGTTGAAAGAAATTCAGTCTTAACTGTCAATTGTAAGAAGCTGATGAAAGCTTGAAAGAAAATCTGTTTTAATTATTGGGAATATCCTGCACTAATTCTCTATATTTCTTGACAATTATCCAATGAATGCATATTACCTAAATGAAAATAACATTAACATAGATTAAAACTTTTTTCCCTATAGGCTATAATCTAAGCAGTGTAGATGTCACAGAAGTAGTAAGCATAAATCCAGCCTAAAAGATCAACCAAAAAGTCACATAAATTGAAGGAAGAAAGCTTCGCTATTCATTCAACCATATGAGACAACTTCCCTGTTCAGAAAAGATAGCTCTCTTTCAGCATTGTAAAATACTTGGGCCATCAGAGAACAGCTATGTTTGTCATAGTTACTTATGCCTTCATGTGATACAGCATATAAGGTACAGGGTCCAAACATTAAACTTAAATATTGAATAAAGTGCACTGTATCTCATAGTGCTCAATCATAAAAGAAAATAAACTTTACTTTTTAATTTTGACTATATAAAAATGTGATGTGCTTAACAAGGTGTTCACATTCAGGGTCTTGCCTTGGCTTTTTCAAAAAAGTCAGATGATTGTTTTTGACATCTGGATTATGTTTGTAGAAAGATGATTACCTTTATGTTTTTCTATGCCTCTGATAAATTAAGTTGCCCCAAATTCTTTGTGGCTTAATCTTACATAGTATGAAATAGAAATGTAATATTGGTATTAGTTCCATTTCATAATATGATTATCAAAATACAAAACTGTTTAAATTAACAGGCAATGACTCATCAGTCAGTATAACTAAATACCATTCCTGGTTCTTTAATTTAAAAATAAATGTCTAATATGAATAATTTTATGTTTTGTACATGTTTAGAAGATAGATTTATTGATCTAGAAAGTATGAGGCCTCTCACCTTGGCTGATGGTCAAGGCAGGGTGATAAAGAGTTTTGTAGATGTTCAGAATCTGAAGTTGTAGTACATTTTATATATGTATATCACTTGTTTGGGTCAATGTGATTTCAATAATTTTCTTTAGCTGTTCTAGCAAAATTTTATATAATAATCAAGACTGATATAAAACCATGAATACCTGGTTCAAACAGCACAAACATTGCTTATATACCTGAACCTTACGAAATAAAATGCACTGGAATTAAATCGATTGTGTCCTATGCAACCAACAATTGACCAGTGTAGTCCTCAATGTCAAAACATATTCAGATACTGAAGCACTTCAGATCATGCATGAATTGTTGGTAGTTAATAAGAATTAAATTATGAAAGATCACATGACAGCATTACCAAAAATGCTTGTCATTACCAAAATCCCTTCCATATATGCAATTCAGGTGAAAAATAGGTTTGTGCACACAACCATCCCATCCCCACCCCCAAAAGAGGAATAGTATTTTCTTGATGGCTTACATTTTGGGCATTTACAAAAGTGTTACATTTGTTATATCTATTATTTTTAATTATAGTACACTAAAGAGGAGCTATAAATGTTTGCTTCTTTTATTAAGTTCATCAAGCTGATTACACTAACCATTTGGGTAAATACTGATTTAACTGTTTGTCATTCAAATTATTTTAAAAGCCATATGTTTTCTTGCAATATGAGAAATAGTATCATGTTATTGTAAAACAAATTCTTCCTTTTGATCTTTAGTCATATTGTAGTAAGTTCAGGGATCAAAATAAGAAGCTACAAGACAACTCATGATCTCCTGGGTCATTGTTTCAGCAATATTTCCTTACCAGATTCCTCAATGCTTTCAACAATTTTCTTGAAAATTTAAGGAGATTATTCAGCAAGTATCTTCACTGAATGTAACCTATGTTGAACTATAAAGCATAGTTCAACATCAGGAGTTATTACAAAAAATTTTTTGTGACATTTTGTATTTTGTCACAAAATGCTTTATAATAATGTAATGTCATAAAACATTTGCTAAATTTCAATTCCATGGGAGCGATGGGTCCCAGATTTTGTATACATTCTGTTAGTCCATTTGAAGCACCTTGGTTGAAAAAAAACATTTGGCACCCATGGTTAAACATTACAAACGTGAGTTTTAGTAACACAAAGAAGCGTGAATATCATAGCTTATGTTTATTTTTAACTTTTCCATTATGAAGAGTGATTTTACATACCTGCCCAATTCAAATGGCACCTATTTCTATTGTATCTGTTTATTATCATAATGGTGGCATTGACTCAATAAACCCTATAAAATATAAGTGTCAAAAAGATCTATGTTCAAATATCTAGGCCATCTAACTATTGAAGCACAACATTGTTTCTATTAAAAATACCAGATACTGGACTGTGATATGCTTTCAGCTTTCAACTGGTTGCAGTGTGATCTACAGTTGATGAGGACACTATGCCCCATTTATTCAGAGAGTCCCAACAGACACCATGTGAGGTACAAATCCTATTCAGGATTGTCCATTGCTGACATGGTAGTTTAAAGCCTGGCACCATTTTTGTGGGGTTCATTTATATATCTGCTAAGCCATATAGGGACACAGTATTCTGCTGCAGACTAGACAAACCCTGGGGTTAATTATCTGAGGGTGGCAGTTGATACTCCCCATTTAATTCTACATAATATCTGGAGTACGTTATTCCTAGTATTGATTTTTGCCTCCATGTTCTCTAGGTGTTTCTTGTAGGAGAGGGTATTATGCATATATAATAGCTACATGCATAATAGTGGTGCAAATGTTTCAACTGTTTTAAAATTATATATAAAAAATAAGAAAAAAGATACACAAATATATTTAAAATAATGTAAGCCAACCAATTTTTTTTGGAGTTGGGCAACTTTAAAAATCCAATCAATCAATCAGCTTAAAATACATATCTTAGTCTTTTGCTTTCAAATACAGGGGGCAGAAACCCACAGATTTGTTTGCTATATAAATAAATGTAGATATAAGTTATGATTCAGATTAAGGTACTATACAGTGTATTAATATCTGGAATGCTATAGAAGAACCAGAGAGATCTGGATTCAGAGCTCTTGAGTAATCAATAATTTGCTCTTTCTCCAATTATTTTACTATATATGTTTGTTGTGAAGATAAAATGGTATAAAGGGAAGAAAACCATGGGTGTTGTGTTGGTAGTAGGGGCAATAAAAATAAAATAAAATGACTGTTTTGTGGTAAATGGAGTCTACTTCTAGTCAAATACATTTATAGCTGTTGCTTGTATGTGGAAAATGAACTTTGATGATATCTCAAGTCCAGATGCACAATTTTATAGCTTCTGTTAACAACAAACAATTCTTCTGTTTTGATGCATCCACATATGATTATATTTCAAGAACTGAAATGCTTTGTTTCTCACTGCTCTGATGATTTATTTTGCCTTTCCTTCCCAACTGAATTATTGCTTGTCCATGGTACTGAAATGTTTTCAGCTTTTCCTATATGATTAAAAACAAAAACAACTCATATTGTTAATGGTATTTGCATATATTGAATATACATTGAAAGATATCACCAAAGAACATTTGTTGCAGTTTTTGAAATTCATATGCATTGGAAAGGGCAACCATCACCTTCATTTAATGACTCGATTATCTCTTATGGGGTGGAGTCTAGGCAACTGAATGGAGCAAGCAGACTGTTGTAATGGCCGGATGCCCTTTCTGTTGCCACTATTAAATATACAATATCTAAAACTAAAATAAATGGATATATTAAAATATTGTACATTGTTCTAAGTAGATGCATATTTCCTCTATCAGTTGCTAAAGAAAGCAACACATTTTGACAATAAACTACTATATACTTCTCTGTTGTAATATATTCCTTCAAATTTCTTTCTGTTACTTCTTAGTAAGTCTCAATTAGTGTCTTAAGTCTCTTAATATGGAATAAAGTTGATTGAAACATTTCATTAAGATTTCTTAATAAATGATCTTGCTTTAATGCATTTTGCAGAGTTTTTTTCCCTGTAGATTATTAGAATTTTGTTACTGTGTATTCTTTCTTTGTATTATATTTACAAAGTACAGTGGTGTTGTTAGCTGAAAAGGTGTCATGCTTCAGGCATGAACAAACATTGACAATCTAATCTAATCCATAAACACTGCAGCTCCCATGCTCAACTCTTTCAGAAGGTTTTGCAAGGCCACCTTATTCCAGTTGTGTCTAGAGATAGCAAATTCCAGTTTTTCTGAGTCAATTATCCAAAGATGAACCATTTCTTTAAAATATGTATTTAACAGACAAATCATTTATCAAGAGAATCTTCAAGACATTAGTTGAATCAGTTTTCATAGTTCTTAGCTCTGATTCTTTCTCCAAAGCAGCTGCATATGAATTTTTCAAAGCTCATGAAATTAACTGATCTCTTGCTTATTCCAAAGCACTGGAATAAAATTTTAAAAAAAGAAAGAAAACATCTAAGAACAAAAAAAATCCTTAGGTTTGCAGAAATTATAATCAATTCCATGCAATTACAGTGATTGAAACATAGATCCCACAGCTCACAAATAGTATAATTCGTAAACATTACTGCATCCACCCACCACCTGTTACTACTCTACTGTTCAGCTCTATGGTAAGCAATGTTGTAGTTCTGTGAATTGAAATAACATGACCTAATTGGCATCTTATTGCTATCAAGGAAGTTGAGAAGTATTCAGATCCTGCTACCCAAAAAAGTTCAGGAAGGATGATTCCAGAAAATTAGGTGAAGGGGTAGAAAAGTCCATTGTGAGGATGCTGAGACAATATAATAGTGCATTTTAACATAACATACCTAGTTTAACTTACCCTCCAGATATTTTGGACATTTCTCATAATTTAAGATGGTTATTGATTATACTGTACATTGATCAATTTCCAACATACCTGAGAACAACAGTTTGAGGAAAGCTATAGTCCAAAAGACCAGGAAGGAGGAGAAATGGCTATCAGGAAATAAATCAGGGGAGAAGTACCTGGACTTCCCTCCCCTCCACCCTTAAAAATACAATAAGTCCAAAAATTTATGAAGTCTCCATGTATTGCAAGATTCAAAGAGGCACAGCTCCAAATGCCATGATAGCAGCTTGTAATAAACTCTCCCACTGTTTTATTAGTATTATAGGTAAACACGATCAGACTCAGTCTTTTCTGGGAGGGTTTTTTTTTTGGGGGGGGGGCATACATAGGGGTCCCTATACTTGGAGAATCTGAACAGTCAAACTTCTGCCCTGCCCTCTTTCTCTGAAAAACTACCTCTTATGCCAGTTAGTTCTCCTTGGAGTTTTTGGAAAAAGCCTTTGAGAGACACTGACCAATTTCAGTCTTCGTCGGAGGTGACGGAAAGGTGGAAAGGAAACCTCAATTCAAAGCATTCTGGTGGGTCGGATAGGCTGCGTGAGTGAAGTCAGGCTGGGCTTGGTGCGGCTGCGACGGCAGCTTCGCTGCAGCTCCTCCCCGCAGGTGGAAGCTGAATTAGACAACCAGAGAGGCTGCTGCTGTTTTTTCGCCGACTGCTGGACTGCACTTTTCTCAGCAACCGTGGCCAGTTCTGATCGGGAAGGGAACTGTCAGGCGAGAAACAACTGAAGTAAACTCAAGAACTGAGAACTTGGGATGGAAGGTCAGTTTGTCGGAAGGAGGTAGGGCGGACTGGCGTCTGGCTCCCCTTTGCAGCGTGAAAGAAAAGTGTGGGGCTGCGGGAAAGTATCTTAATGCAGGGATACGTTCAAGCAGTCCAAGGTACGATTTAAAGGAAAGATAGTAAAATTGCATTTAGAATAACTTAACTCTACCAGCTAGGAAGATGAAAGAAAAGTCTTTTGTTCGTTTGTTAATCCGTTGCTTTTCCTTTCTTGGTGAAGGCAAAGAACTTTTTCCTGTGGGTAGAAGTGGTGGTGGTGGGGGGAGACTTTCTTGCCTTATCAGTTTTTGAATTAATTTCTTTCTGCAGGCACTGATAATAAAGCCCCATAGGGTTGTTGTGGTACGAGAAAGCAGAAGAGGCATGGCTGTGCTTAAAAACACAGAGAGGGCAGCTGGCATTATTAATGGGGGAATGAGTCACTGGAAAGTGAATTACCAATTGGTGGTGCAATGAGATACATTTTATGCTTTTATATGTGTTTCCTAGCTTTCTAAAACTTTCACATGACAGTCCTTCCCAAAGATAAGAGTGAACATATAAAAGTATAATTCAATGCAGAAAGTAAAAGGGAAGGTTTTGTTTGTATTGGATTTGTTTAACTTCAAAAAGCTTACAAAATGGTTATGGTTAGGTTTGTAGCCTAACACATTTGAAGGAGTCAATAGTGAAGAAAACTGGCTTAGATGTTTTTTCATAACTGATTTAAGAATTCAAGTTACTGTGTTAATAAGTAAAAATGTATGATAAAATTAAAACATTCAATATGTTTTAAGTCCTTGCTGCAAAAATGAACTGTATTGCTCAGTTAAAAAACATTTCTTGAGCACGAATGGTATAAAATTTTTGGAACAAGCTTTTGTAATAAGTACTGTTAATAGGTTTATTTCATATATTGGACTACAGTCCAGTATGTTTTACCTCACTGAAACTAATAGGCTTAAGTCTCTGTTGAGCTGTGTTTTTTCATGGTTGTAGATAATGCCAAGCAATGGTATTGCACAGATTTACTACAAATAGAAGGAGGGGGAAAATACCAATTACAACAGTAGATTGTCTCTGTTAAATATATGCCAACTGTATATTCAGAGAAGGTTATAAATATTTTCTCCATGAACATAATTCTTTAAAGCTTATTGTACTCATAACACATAATCTTTTGTTTGATGGGGTTGTGTTGTAATGACGAGGCAGTCGAGTTGTTTGATCATGAACAACTGAATCATGATGATCTTTATTGGAATGTAGTCTTGCATTTATATACATTTTTAGTTATCCTCCATCATTGGTTAACTTTGGTTACGGCTTAACTTTCGTTACTGTTTAGTACAGTAGTCCATGCAATTAATTATCTCTAGTTAAAGTCTAACATATGTCCACTTCCCCTCTCTAATCCTCCTTTATCCATAGATTGGTGACTTTGTTTGCCTGAGTTGTATTTGCTTGGAAATATTCTTTATCTGAGGTTTGCCATCCGAGATTGGAACATTCCTTCAATTACAACTCTACAGGGTTGCAATGGCTCTTTAGCTCCAATCTTAGCTGACTTCTTCATGCATAAGATCAAATTTCAGTCATCTGATCATATATCCAGGTTGTCATATTATAGGCGCTATGTAGATGATACACTGATTTTTTTGCCCACCAAGACGGACTACTGGTGACTTTGTGCATCATCTGAATAGCTGTCATCCCAACCTGAAAGTCACCATCAAGTATGAAGTAGATCAGCAGTTACCCTTTCTGGATATACCGATCATCCGAAGGAATGGAAGGGCTCCATGAAAATAATAGTATATAGGAAATCAACATGGTCTGGTCAATATCTGAATTTCTCAAGCTTTACACCAATTAAGTATAAATGTGCACTTGTACAGACACTATATGAGCACATTGAAATTGCACTGAGGACTGTTTAAAAGAAGAACTTAATTTTTTAACCCAAACACTTTGCTCAAATGATCCCAGGTGCTTTATTGACAGGCATAGTAAAATAAGAGAACTGAGAGTTCCAACTGCCAGTAAAAAGAAGGTATTTATTGAGCTGCCCTTTAAGGAGGATCAATTAGCACACCTGAAGACTCAATCCTTGAACACCTTAATTGAAGAAACATTCAATATGGCTGAGCTTCACATATTACATCAAATCCAGAGGC